TTAATGAATGATCCTTTTACCCTTCAACCAGACCTAAACACTTTTGGAGGCGTGTTTGGAACCTTCAAAATTATTTAAAAACTCATTTTCTCAAATTTTCACAATTTTGGTAATAGTCAATAATACTAAAAATATATGGATCTTCACTTTTCAAAGGAAATATTTTGTTAATAGCTACAAATATTAATCCTCACAAAATTTATATTTTTCTGTAATTTTCTCAACAAATAGATACTTGATAGATAATTTTTATTTTCTTGAAAATTAATATTTTCTTTATAAGATAACAATAAATAATTGGTGAGTGAAAAAAATAATTTATAATTTACCAAAAACTCAATAATAATATTTAGAAAAAATTATTCCCAAAAAATGGTGATCATTAGATCTAGAAGTAATATGTGAGAGTAAAACTTGTATAATGTCACTAATCATCACACCGTCACTATATATTAATCATCCTCTATACTTTCTAAATTTGGATAGATCCGATAATTTAAAATATAATAAAAAGTACAAGATAAATATAATAAAAAAATAAATTTATTTAAAATTTTAACAATAATAATATCTAAACAAAGGAACTACAACACTCAAGCAGTTTAAAAGTCCACGGCATCCTGCTAATTAAAACTCAAATCTGTCACCCGAGCTTCCGGTAAATTTATTTGCCGCAAGTAAAAGTACTTTGTATTTTTAAGAATTTTTGGCAAAAATAACCAATACTCTTAAGAATTTATCATAAAGACTAAACTACCCTTCATACACACTAGTTCTTTTTCTTTTTTCCTGGCCTAGTCATATATACAGTTCACTAAAGTAGACAGGTAGTGAACTGGTTAATTTTCTAGAGCATACCATTTTTTTTTTTTGCACTATTACTTTAAACATAGTCTATTTCATTTTAATTTTATTTTAATTTGTTTACAATATAAAATTTTTAGAAATCTAAATCTAGTGCATTTATATATAATTTTTTTCTGATTATTTTTTGTTTAGCTAGATAAAATATTTTTGAATAAGAAATCAACTAAAGTAATATGAATATAAAATAAGAAAGTTGAAATAATAATTAAAATTATAAAGTATTTTGACATTGTCAAAGCTAGTTTACCTTTTAACTTAATCAATATTGAAAAATTAGCTAATACATTGATAATAGAGTATTTTAGATTCATAAGTGAAATGAGAAGGATGATACATATTCATTCAAATATATTAAAAAATAAAAGCACTAATTAAAAAAATATGTGTTAGTTTTTAATCCCATTTGTAAAGTTAAAAAAAACTTTATTAATAGTTTATCGAATAATAACTCATAAAATATTACGCTATATCTCATTATTAGTGTTATTAGTTGTAGACACCCAATTGAGTCCAGAGCCAGATCAATTGGGCCTGGCCCAAATGGGTAAGGCCCAATTGAATTTTTATCCTGTATTTTTTTATTTTGTATATCTGTATTTATTTATTTTTATTTAGAATAGATTTATATGTATATAGTTATATATTTATTATTATTATTATTTTTTTTTTTGGAATATATTTTTGGGTTTATCTTATTTTATTTTTTAAATTATCTGTTAATTTTATCTGATTCTTTTTGATTATCTGATTATTTTTTTTTCTTTTCTTTTTATCCTATCTTTTCTAATTATCTTTTTTTTTTATTTTGATTTTTGGAGGGCTGAGATTGAAGTTGAAGAATCCCACTGGGAATGGGAATTCAATCAGAAGAGTCTAGTTGGATTCAAAGATTGAATTCCCGTCCAATGAGGAATTGGGATTGATCAGGAACTCCTGATCAATCCCTATAAAAGGGACCTTTTGGAACAGATGAAGAACAGACAGAAACAATAAGCCAGAGCTACTGATTTGAGAGGAAAAGGCGTAGAGAAGAGTATAGAAGGCTAGGAAAAGGTTTAGGAGAGTTCTAGGAATTATCAAAAATTTTTTGGGAATTTTTTGAATTTTTTTTCTGGGAATTTCTGGAAAATTCCAATTTTCGGTTGAATTTTCTGGCGAAACTTGAATTTTTCGGCAAAAATTTCGGCCACCCTTGAGGTTTTCGGTGACCTGCACAGTTTTCGGTAAAGGATCCCAGAAACCGGTGATCTTCCGGTGAACTTCCGGCGAAATTTCCAGATTCCGGCGACATTTTTCAAAATCCGACGAAAATTCCACCGGTGTTCTTCAGCCTTTTTAGAGAGAAGGGAGAGGAAAAAGGAAGAAGAGAGAGAGAGGGGAGAAGGGTTCTGTCAAAAAACAGAGAGAAGTACCTTTTATACCCTCCCAAAACGACGTCGTTTTGGCTTTAAGTTAATCAGAGGATCCGCGCGTTTTGCCGAACCTGACCCGACCCGAGCGTCGACCCCCTTCCTGACCCGCGCGTGCCTGCCCCCTCTGAGCCGAGCCGAGCCGTTCTTCCCGAGCCGTTTCTCCGAGCCGTTTTCTCTTCCTTGAGCCGAGCCGAGCCACGATCCGAGCCGCTCCAGGTTTTTTTTTTGAATTTTTTTTATTTTCATTTATTTGTTTTTTTTATTTTTTATTTATTAGATTAGGTTTATTTAATATTCTTTTTATCTTTATTTTGGTTTTACTTTCCTTTATTTTTTATCTTTATTTATTTTCATTTATTTATTATTCTATTTTCTTTAAATAAAAATCAAAATTTCCAAAAAAATATTTTTAGGGAAAAGTTGAAAGTATCAATTTTCCTTGAAAATCAAAATTTCCAAAAAAGATATTTTCGAGGAAAAGTTGAAAGTATCAATTTTCCTTGAAAATCAAAATTTCCAAAAAAAGATATCTTGGAGGAAAAGTTGAAAGTATCAATTTTCCTTGGAAATCAAAGTAAAAAAAAATATTTTTGAGAAAAAGTTGAAAGTATCAATTTTCCCTACACAAGAACAATCATTCTTTCCTTCCTTTCTATTTTCATTTTGATTTTGATTTTTCTTTAAATAATCCGACGACGGAGTCTCTGCAAGTGAAACAGTAGTTTTTCTTGCATACTTTTGAGGTGAGGGAATTTTTTCAACAATTGAGGATAATTTTCGACAATTAATTACTTGGTAAAATTTTAAGGCTCATTGGATAACACAAATTTAAGCTGGTACCATCTTTTGATGGGCGTTGTGAGGGTGCTATAACCTTCTTCACACGTAACCGAACTCCCGAACCCTGTTCTGGTTAGCAGACCCGAACCTATTCTTTTAGGGACCCTTAAGCTTAGGTGTTCCCTAAAAGGGCAGATTCCTTAGGTGGCCAATCGCACCTAGATAAAAAAGATTGATGGCGACTCCCTAAAGTCAATGTCTAGCGATAGATCCCCGGATCTAGACATTATGACATTAGTGTTTGAATTTAATTTTTTCTAATCAAACTTTTTAAGTTTGGCCTTTGTTTATAAAGTAGTATTAATTAAAATTTTAAAATATTATACATTTTAAATTTTTTATTTTTAAAATATATATTTATGACATATCTAAAACTAAAATTTTTTTATTAAATAAGATTAAACTAGGATAATATTTATGAGACAGAAAAAGTATGTCATGAATAATTTTGAAAAAATATTTTTAGCTTAAAATTTATTGTTAATATTGTAAATTATACACAAATAATACGTTATATAAAGAAGTTGATATATAAACAGATATCTCTTTAAAAATATATATAAAAAAACTCTAATCAGGTTTTATATTGAAATCATATATATAAATATGAAAAAAAAAGAGATAAATTATTATTTAAAATTTACACCAAAATAAAATATAAATATGAAAAAATAAAAGTGAATTGTTTAAATAATATATTTTTTACAAAAAAGTTTTAGTGATGGGAGGCTATCTCATTTTAGTGTTAGAACATACTTCAAGTCTCAATAATGACTTGCGTTAAATTTATAAATCATTCACCAAGAGATTTTTAATCGAAAATTAAACCTCAATCTTACAAGTGAACAAGGTGGACCCATGGCTTAAGGTAGAGTTTCCATAAACCCTACAAAATATTTTGAAAATAACAAAATTTTGAAGGAAAATTTTCTCGTGTATACTTTTTTATCAATAAAATTAATAAATTCGTTAATAGTTCTTTAGTAAACATCGTAAATTCAGAGTGATTTGCAAATTAAAATTTTTATTCTTGGTTGAATGATTATGTAGTTAGATATATGAAAAAAAATATTTGATAATATTAACAATGATGCAATTATATTTTTTTTAAGATATGAGATCCCTTCGTCCATATTTATAATAATATAACAATATATTATTTAAAATATTTATTCATAATATGTATATATTAGAAGTTGATATCTCTAAAAAAAAAAATTTTAAATCTATTACTGCTAGCGAAGTATTTAATCCTTATAACGCAATCAATTTTTCTTGATTATTTAAATATTATATGCTATCTTTATTCAATTAAATAAAAAATGAATTTATAACGAATTTCGTATAAAATGACAAGGAAATATGCCAATAAAAATTGCATACGATGAAAGGAAAATATATATATATATACACACATACATATATGTTGTCTCTAAATCCAAGAAGAATAAATTTCTCTTTATTTATCCTACAAAGAAACCTTTTTACATAATTTTGTCTTTATACTATCGTAGATTTTCATTGACAGAAGGATAAATATCATTTAGCAAGTTAACAACTTGCTATACAAAGTTTCCCTTTGTAACTTTAAAAAGTAGCATAACGTGGCTTTTTGAGAGAACGGGTGCTAAAAGCGGCTGACAAAGGTGAGTGCCCTTAGCTGCCTTATAAACAAAATTAAAAAATATATATTATATATTTTCGATGGCTAAACTAATTAAATAGTCAATCAAGTCTACTCTTTTGTATCAAAACCAAAAATTCCACAATCTTATCAAATCATTCAAAAATTATTTCTAGCCATCTCCAATGAATCCTTGGACGGATATTAATTGTAGACGAACACCGAAACAGCCAGCGTTTGATTACTTAAAAAAAAAAAAAGAAATCATTAATCTCAGATGAAAGGGAATATTAAAACAAAAATTATTAATCTCAGAATTGGTGTGTTTGACCATCGTCAAAAGATTATTCTAATCAATCATTACATTTGAAAAGGAGATGGTCTTAGACGTGCATTTGAGACCTTCTATGAGGGGTGAGCAGAAAGTAACAAGAGGAAGGAAAAATGAAATAAAAAGAGTTAGAAATTAAAACAAGGATGAGCTGAATGACACAGGCAGATAACTTACAAAGAAAAACACTCCGAAGGCAGAAAGTTTAACAAGTTCTGTTGGAAACTAATTAGGGGTATGCATCCAATGGCAGAGTTACACTATCGTTTATAATTGATCTAGACGTTGAACAAGAAGTAATAGCCCAAGGTTCGATCATCTCATCTATATCAGAATCTTCATCCACACTCTGTTCAATAGCATTAGCTTCTTCTGATGCTCTAATCCTCTCCAGCTCCATTGCAACTTGTTTCATTGTGGGTCTTTTCTTTCCATTAAGATTCAAGCTTCTTTTCGCTAGCTTTGCAACTGCTATAATCTCTTCTTCTGGACCATTATTCCTTGCCATTGGATCAAGAATGTCAAATAGGGAATTCTCCTTCATTGTAAGCAGAAAAAAGGCTACCAAGCTTCTCACTTCCTCTGATTGTGTTGAAGAGATGGGTTTTTGTCCTGTTAGCAGTTCAACAAGAACAACTCCAAAACTATATACATCACTCTTCTCTGTAAATTGACTCGACCGAAAAAACTCCGGATCCAAGTATCCGAAAGTTCCTTGTACTTGAGTGGTTATATGAGTTTGCTCAAGTGCAACTGATCTTGAAATTCCGAAATCTGACACTTTTGCTCTGTATTTATCATCCAAAAGTATGTTGCCAGATTTGATGTCTCGGTGATAAATAGGGACAGAAGCAGCTGAATGCAAATAGGATAAAGCATCGGCAATTTCAATTGCAATTCGTAAACGCATTTCCCATGTCAATTGGAATTCTTCATTTTGATCATGTATGAGTTGAGACAGTGTTCCATTGGGGATGAACTCATACACTAGTAAAGGGACCTTTGTCTCCAGGCAACATCCTAAAAGCTTAACCACGTTTCTATGGATAATCTGTGATAAAATTATCACCTCATTGATGAACTGTTCAAGCTTCTTTTCGTCAAATGTCTTCTCTTCCACCATTTTAGACTTCTTGATTGCCACGATGCTTCCATCCGTTAACATTCCTTTATAAACTGTTCCTTGCCCTCCTTGACCAATGATTCGATTCTCGTGATAGTAATCTGTCGCCTTTTCCAACTCCTTTGAAGTAAACAACCTTATTTTTTCAACATTCCCTTCATTGCTGGACAGTTGCTGTTGCAGTAGCAAGCCTCCGTTCCTTTTAAAGTATCTTTGCTTAAGCTTGATGTTTTTTCTTCTTTCTAGTACTTTGTGCATTCGCCATGTACCAAGTAGCACAAATACTGTCCCAATACTAGTGCTGCAACCTGTATAGGAAACATAATTTATTAATACAAAAGGTAAATTTGCAAAATAATATATATATATAGATATATATTAAGAAAAACCATTCATACATTACAACATGATTCATATTTTCTATCTATCTATCTTTAAGAAAGTGAATTTATCATAGCTTTAACCTAAGTTTAAAGCTCAAGTGGTAAGAGTGGGATGCAATTTTAGTATAGATCTTGTGTTGAATGAAACCTATTATACGCTTCCTCTTATTAAATTAAAAAAAATATAAAATATAAAAGAGAGAGAATTTAACGCGTACTTATACTGATGATGGACGAATTTGAAGACTCTTTGGGCTTCTTCGTAGGAGACTCTTTAGGCTTCTTCGTAGGAGACTCTTTAGGCTTCTTCGTAGGAGACTCTGTTGGTATGCACCTATCGCCTTCACGTGCGTATTCATATCCATCAGGGCATCCCAATGAACAATAGTTGCCAGGAGCATTCAAACAAAGCATACAACAGTACCTATATTTAAGATCCCTGCAATTTTCTGTATCTGCCATTTATGAAATGAATAAATATAGTTATATTCACGTAAAATATGCTAATTAAGAAATACCAAAACAAATAAAATGTTTAATTTTCCTTTCTTTTGTGCAAATTTTCGCTATCCGGATCGTAACAAAATATTCTTATATTATAGTGAGACTCGTGTTATGTACGATACCGTCGCATACAGCAGAATAATAATCGTAATTGTCAATGTCAGAATTGACATCCACGCTGCAAACACATAGATGGCTGGCGCTCAAGTTTGTCCAACAATATTGACCACCGGAGCTACAAAAGGTATTTGAACCATCTTTCAACTCACACAGCCCACGTTTCAGTGTGCCCCATTGCAGTGCTGTAGGAACGTGTCCTGCTTTTGGTGTGCCCCGTTGCAGTGTCATGGGAACGTGCGTCCAACCGCTTACGCCATTCTGGTCTGGAAGTATTGTCCTACTTGAATCGGAATCGAAAAAACTTACGTCAACCATGAAAGCAGATCCGCATGATCTCCTGCTGCCATTACTAGGATAAATCTCCGTCATGTTTGCAGTAAAGGAACTGAGACCCGGAGGAATTTTCATAAGGCAGCTAACATTGGAAGTCATAATGTTGCTACAACGGGGTTGCAGGCAGCTACCAAAAGGATAATCAGTTCGACTACGAAAAATAGTTACCAAATATCCGCAACCTACAGACACGAATTTGTTGAAGATTTCCGAGAAGAAAAAGGGGCTGCCTGTTAGGTTGACACTAACCCCATTATTATCTTCACTCTTATTGGGGCAATTGAAGTAAGTTATTGAATTGTTGACGAGAACTGTGCCTCGAGAAAATGAAACATTGAGTAGTTGCATATTGATGCTACTTATGAAAGGCTTTGGCCCATCACCGGTTTCGTTGCAACTTACTCTAAACCACTCATTCCTGTAACACCCGACTTTAATTCCAAATGGGAATGGAATATCAACCTTCCCACATCTTTCAACACAGACAGACTTGTGAGGTATTGCGACAGCTGGTCCTGCTTGGCATTGTGAGGCTGCTTAGCATGAACAAGTAAAGCACCGATTAATAATAATAATAACAATAAATTTTGTTGTTAAAATTGACATAAACATTTAATTTTATTCAGACAAATAAAATTGAATTCAAATTGCATCATTTCAAGTACCTCAATTTATTTAGTTTCGTTAGACTTTTCGGACTAAATTGTGTGAACCGAAGTTTAATTTTTCCAAGCCGAAATCACTCGGGCCAGAATTCAATTTCAGTTCACTACCTGTTGAATGGATCATTTGTGCCAATTGAGCTCAAAGCCCAAATTTCAATTTAATAATATGGCGCAATTCATGCAATTAGATTAACATTTTAATTAGGTAAATAATTTAATTAACTAAAAAAAATCAATCACATTGGTAGACAACGGATGCCGTCAACAACCCACGTGCCAGTCAACCTCCACTCTTGTCTACAACCTCCCATTCCCAGGTGCACGCCGTGACTATCATATTTAGTTATGTCAGCCATTACCATCCATTGAAGAAATCTAGCCTAAAACTAAAACAAGAATGACAGCAACTCTAAAACACCAGGAAATTAGATACAATTTTTTCTTTTTTTAAAATCTTAGACTCTGGACAACCACCCTTACCGCAGGATATTCGGTCATTGGAAAGGCTGCCGCGGCTCCTTGGAACCTCACAAACCCAAAAAATATGGGATTTGATGTCCCTTTATAAATTGAGCCTTTATGAATAATAATAATAAAAAAAAATCTCTGCGGGAAAAAAAATAAACTTTTCTAACCTCCTCAAAAAGATCCTGACACCCAATACCAAAAGAGAAAAACATTCCATTAAGAGGGGAACCACTGGGCCAAAAAATAAAAAAAAAAAACTTTGGTTGAAACTTTAAAGGTCGATATGAATTTTTAAGGGTTATTTTTTGAGAAACGAGGCTAAGAGGAGTCTTTTGGGCTTTTTTGAAAATTTTTGGTTACCGGTGATGACGATAAACGGAAGACAGCAACAACTGATCGGATTTTGGGTAACTATGGTGAGTAGGCAGAGAGGGTTGAAGGTATTTTTTTAGAAAAGGGTGGAAATGAGTTTTTTTAAAATTTGTTCTTTTATACCTAAAAAAGGGAGAAAACGGTGAATTATAGGGAAGTAGGATCTGCGCATCAACTTAACCTGATGACCTATGCATTCGACCTATAACCTATGCTTGTCTCAGCCAAACCGATCTTATTAAACCGCTGTTGAATTATTCAGTCTGCGTCTCTCAATGTAGCGAACTGGACTAAACCGCAGTGAACTGTCCCAAATCGCCAGTGAACCAGCTAAATTGAATTGAATCATCGACCAAGTCGTTGACCAACCGGTTTATGTTTTTTTAAAAATTATTTTCTAATTTTTATCAATTTAGTTACTTTTTTATTTATGTATATTTAAAATTTTAGATCTCTAAAATAAATATTTAATATTTTTTATAGTAAAATAATGCTAATAAAATGAAATTTAGATTTACAAAAAATGACAAAATTTAATGTATTTATTCTTTAAAAAATGTTGCTAATAAATTAAAAAAAAAAAAAGAAAAAGGAAATGTTATCCGATGATGAAATCTAAGGAAATCCATGTAGTTATTCTTATAAAATCTTTAGGTGAAAATTTTTTTTAAATATTAATAATGCATTAGAGTGTTTATAAAAGTTTTTAATAAAAAAATTCCTTCTCTTTGTTTTGCTAATAAAAAATTATGTTACATTAAATATAAAATTACTTTTGTTTATGATAAAAAATTATTAATGTTTTTTATTTACTGATATCTAATATTCATTTTTTAATATTTTATACATTAATTATTAATTTATTATTAATGATTCATATTGATGTTTCATACAATTGTATGTGTCTATATTATTCTTTAGTAATAAATTAAAAATAGACAAATAAATAGAAAATTTCTACAAATAAAGAGTAAGAGCAAGTTAAAAAAGAGTACTATTAAAATTGACCTAATAGTCTTATGGTCTAATTTTAATTTTTAAAAGTTTTCTAAAATATCAAAATTAATTGACATAATATTAATTTAATTTTAATAATTAACATTTGAATAGCAAATAGTACAATGGAAAATGAAGATAACATATTTATGATGTCACAGCTTAAGAAAAATTATAAAAAAAATGAAGATGATTATTTAACTATTTTCTTTCTTTTATTGTTAGAGTAAAAAAAAAAACAAAGGGACTTTTATTTATGATGTATATATATAGAAATTGATTTCAATTATAATAATATAAATGATTATTTTAATTTTTTAAACATAATCAAGAAAGTTAATAGAGAAAATTTGAAAAGATAATTTAAAGTTATGAAATTTTAATAAATTAATAATTTATGTTATATTTATTATTTTTAATTGCATTAATATTTTAAAATGTAAAATTATGCTCAATGTAATTTTGGATCATTTCAAGTAAGTATTTCAAGTCCTTCAAGTTCATCTTCTGGGTTTGGGTTAGGGTGCAGATCATTTTAAGTTCGATCAATTTGAATTCGAATTAATTTGGAATTGGTTTGGACGGATTCAGATTATTGATTTTTTTTTTTAATCAAGCTAGATTTAAATTCAAACTGAATAAACAAATATTTCAAGTTTGGATTAATTTTGCCAACTATAGCTACAGTCTTCTAACTATTCCAATACACTATTAAAGTTTAATTTAATATTGTTGTTGAAAGTAATTTTTGTATTTGGAAATTGATTTGACTCAATCTTAATGCAATACAACCAAAAAAAAGTGTATTTTTCTGGTTTTTAAACTCAAACAAAAAACATTACTCAAGAAATATTTTTTCTATGAAAAAGTATGTTTGAAATAAAAAAAATATATTATCCTATATTTTTACTATTATATTATTTTACATAATTTTTTAAATATTTCAATTACTCTTAATATTTTTCATAACAATATTAAATACTTAAAATTTATAATATCACAAAATTTTTAATATATTTTTCCAACCCAAACTTTTTTAACCTCAATCATAATGCTCATACCACTTATTTGTATTCCCAATCCCAGATTTTTTTTTTCTTTTTTAAAAGTTTCCATACCGCAAAGATTTATTAACTTAAAGCATATATAATATTAAAAAATAATTATGCAATATAATTGAGCTAGACTGGGATAGGTCTAGGCTGCAAAATGCTTACTGAAAGCCCAACCCCAAAGCCACCCGGATTTTAAGCAAACTTAAAAAATTTTGTATAAATTCACTTAACGAATTTTAAATTTTTATGCAAATTCTTTCAAATATTAGATAATCTTTTGAATTTGTGCGAATAATTTTGACCCATGAATAAGTCTATTCAACCTAAGTCATGACAATTTCGAGGAATTACTCCATCCATAGACAAGTTTAGCCTCAAGCTCACATGATATAAAAGATCCATGTAATAAACTTTTATATAAATTATAAAAATAAAAAAAAGTGAGAAATCAAAGTAAAGTGATCATACTGACCGTTCAAATCACGTTTGACGGGTTTCCACTCCAGCGTTGCGGGAACATGCGTCGTATCAATGCTTATGTCATCGAGAAATTCGATATCTGGATCCGATGAGTTAAACATGGAAGGGTCAAAAATGAAAGCAGATGTGCATCTCTTGCTACTCTCTTGCTTCCCAGAATCAATGATCTCTGTCATGGTTGCAGTATAGGATCTCAGATTTTCAGGAATTATGGCATAGCAGCCTTCTAATTTAGAAGTCAGGTTGCCACATCTTTGTTGCAGGCAGGCTGCGATGGGATCAGTTTGAATATTACGAGAAACAGAGGCCAAATTGCCGCAACCTACTGACCCGAATATATTGGATGTATTTGAGAAGAAAAATGGACTGTCTGTTAGGTTGACACTAGCAGGAGCAGTGGTGCCATTGTTCCCTTTTTTGCCACAATTGAGATAAGTTACCGGATTGTTGACGGTCACAGCATCTAACCAAGACGAACCGAGTAGCTCCAGATTGATGCGACTGATGAAAGGCTTTGGCCCATTACCGGTTTCGTTGCAAGTTACTCTAAACCACGAATTTTTGTAGCAACAAGCTTTTATTCCAAACGGAGATGGAATAGTAACACCCCCACAGGTTTCTTTACAACCAGACTTGTCTGCTCCTTGCGATGTTGCTGGTTGAATAAGCGATCCTTGCGATGCTGCTGGTTGAATAAGCCATAGTAGCAGGCTGAAGTAAAACACCAAGTAAACGCCCATTCTCTCTTAATTTCGCCCACCTTTGATTGTTAATTTCTTTCTATCAGGGAAATCAATGAAGAATTAGCTGGGTGCACGTAAATATAGGCGGGGCGTAAACTCAAAAGTTACAAAGAAATTTCTTAGCTCTTGCGCCCCAGTTTCTTATACTTTACCCCCACCGAAGCACTAACCATGTTCAGGGAAAAAAGAAAACATCACTATCAATCGTAAAACCTTTCACATTTATGCACAGATGTTTTGGCAAAATCGAATTATAATACGAATATAGATATTAAAATTTTATAATATCTTAACTCAAAGTTTAATTTAATTAATTTATATAATTATTTTAAAATTTTTTTAATAAATTTAAATTCAAATTTTAACTTCCGTAATTTCTTCCCTTTATCTTCAAACTATAGATTCTTTTATATTAAAAAAAATTATAATTTCTTTCTATTGAGGTCTTAATTTTTTTTTGGTTTGATTAGCGTTTTTTAGGTTGATGCATGGGAATAGAGTTTTTTAGGGGATTATAAATATTAATCCCTCTGTTTTATTTTCTTAGTGAATGTCTCAAAATTGTCCTATTTTTTTTAACATTTAAAACTTTTACTTTTTTATATTTTAAAATTATATTTTATGATTTTTTAAAAGTTTTTGACATTAAAAATCATAAAACTTTAAGTAATTTTATTAAAAAAATTTTAAATTTTAATATTAAATACATCAAAGTCATTTTTTTTTTTTTTAAAATTCTGTAAAAATCAATACATGACAAATAATATAAAATGAAGGGAGTATAATTTTATGTTTTTATTTTTTCTTTGTAACTCAAAAAAGTATTTCTTTGAATCAAAGCTCTTTTCAATTTTAGTAGTGGGAGATGGATAGGTAGATGATTGCACACTCAGGAATCGTGATAAAATAGAGGCAAAATTATATTTTGGTGCAATGCAATGAGAATAATTATTGATTACTAACATAAAAAAAATAATCACTGGAAAGAAAATGTCAACTTTTAAAATTTGTTACAAGAAAAATTACTTTTACAATTTTGTCTTCATTGGTGGTAAAAAAAAGGAAGAAGATTAAATAGCTAAAAAATTGGTGCCCATGTTTTTTAAGGATTCCTTTTGTTTCTAATGTAATAATTATTTTTTATTTTTCTTTTATTTCAAATGTAATATTTATTTTTTATTTTTATATTAACTGATGGAAATTTCATATTGAACTTTATACTAAAGTCAAGGTTGAAGTCACAATATATATCCACATATCTTAGTATGAAGTGTATAAATGTACATATAATAGAAGTACAATGTATATATAATTCTAATGTTATGTACATCTTTATATAAACTATTTTATATATTGTGTTTGGTATAAAAAATTATGATAAGATAGGATAATATGATATTATGAATATAATTAAATTAAATAATGTCATCTTATCTTGTGTTTGATGTATATAAGAATTAGAATAGAATAATTTATTTATTGGTCAAAATTATCTTTTCTTAATGTTTATACAATTTAAATTATTGATGTAATTTTTAAGGATATAATAGAACATATAAGTTAAATCTCATGTATTAAAAATAGTCCTGTCTATTTTAGGAGAATTGAATTATCCTATACCAAAAAGATGATTAATCCTGTCTTTCATTCCAAATGGGGATGTAATTGTAACATTCCCACATACTTCTGTACAAGTGTACTTGTCTGTCTCCTGGGATGCTGCTGCTTGTATTAGCCATAGCAGCAGGATGAAGTGAAACACCAAGTGAACACCCAAGATCTGTCTTGATTTTTTAACTCCTTCGATTGTAAATTTCTTTCCCTGCTGCAGGAAATGAAGATTTAGCTTCTGGATGAATAAATAGAAGGTAAATTGATAGACCGCTAAACTCCTGTAATTTCAATAATTATGATTTAATCCTCACAAATTCAATTATCAAATATGTAGAGAGAATTCAAGGTTTAGCTCAATCAGATTATTCATGAAAGTGACATTTAACAAGTAAAGATTTAAATCTCAATATTTAAAATATTTTTTTCAATCTGCAAATTGATGCCTTACAAGGAAATTTCTTAGCTGTTGCACTCTCATTTTGTAATTTCACACCACTAAAGGCACTAACAATGTTCATATTAAGAGAAACATATAGCACTAATAAAAATGAAAACTTTAGCACATGCTTTTCAATTTTTAATCGCGGATAAAATATGTAATTTGCATGCTTGTGATAAAACTTTCAGCCCACCAATCTTGAATAATTACAAGTAATGTTGCTATATGTTATTGCCCCTGAATTTACTATGTGTTTGGTAAAAAGAAATTTAAAAAAAAAAAAAAAGAGGTGTAATACTAGATCAATCCGTGGAGATAAAAGAGCATGATGACACAAAGCTCAAACAGGCAAAGATGCTGCTAATATTGCAACGAGTCTCACGTGTCTGATTCTATATATAGCTAGCTTAGTAACAAGTTAAATTAAAAAAGAGATTATGAACTGACGTTGGTTTAAATGATAAAATAGTTTCTTTTTTTCTTAATTGTTTGAATTTGAATCTTTTGAAAGATTATAAAAAAAAACTTTTCATGAATTAACTAATCTCGGCATATATAAACCAGTTGAACCAGTATTATTATGATATTTTGTTAGAATATATCGATGAAACTTTTGTGTTTATTTTGTTTGAAGTATTGTGTGATAAATTTTGTTCATATTTTAGCATGGTATTGACGGATTGAAGGATTTGAAACAAATTAAAAACATCAGAAATGAAAATATTGAGCTTTTTTATACTGCAAATAAAAAGAAAACATTAAGAAAATATTAAATTGAAGACTAATATGCAATTTACTCATGGTAAATTAGTAATTTTATTTGAGAAGGAATGAAAAAGTGTATAAATTGAAGATTAGGAAAATATGTGTGAAAATTCATTAAATATGAATGAATTTGAAGCAAATTCAAAATATTAAAAACTAAAAAATTAAATGTTAATAAAATGTAACTTGAGAAATGACCACATGAAAATGATGCAATTTACTCCCATTACTTGAAAATAAAATGTTTAAGCTTGAATAAAACACTGATTCTCTTAATTTGTTTTTTTTTTCTTTAATCTTTTTGTATATAAACAGCAACAAACTCATCTAATCACTTTTTTTCATTCTAATTATATTATAAGTTGTTTTTGCAATTAAAACTTTATTGAATCAGTTGAAGAAAGTTACAAAAATCAATGAAAGCACGATGAAAATTCATGTCAAGTGAGTATAGATAAGGAAAATTCATGTAAAGTGAGTTTCCACTGCAACTTCTAGAAAAAAGCAAACATTGAATTTGTTTATCTCTGGAAAAGAAAAAAGGTAACAAAGACTTTGTTCCGTCTAAATTGGGGGAATTTGAAATGTATGAAAAATTAAGTGTAAATGCATTGACCAATTTTAAGAGCTTCAATTACTTAAGGATATTGCATTTGAAAAAGAAAAAAAAAATGACAACCAGACTCGTCTGCTCCTTGCGATGTTCCTGGTTGAATAAGCCATGGTAACAGGCTAAAGTAAAACACCAAGTAAACGCCCATTTTCTCTTAATTTCACCCACCTTTGATTGTTAATTTCTTTCTGTCAGGGAAATCAATGAAGATTTAGCTGGGTGCATCTAAAAATAGGCCGGGGGTAAACTCAAAAGTTTCAAAGAAATTTCTTAGCTCTTGCGCCACAATTTCCTATACTTGACCCCCACCAAAGCATTAACCATGTTTAGGGAAAAAAAAAACATCTCTATCAATCATAAAACCTTTGACATTGACGCACAGATGTTTTGGCAAAATCGAATATAGATAGTCAAATTTTATGATAATTTAACTCTAAATTTAATTTAATTAATTTACATAATTATTTTTAAGAGATAACATTTAATAAATCTAGATTTAAATTTCAGTATTTGTAATTGTTTCTCTTATCTTCAATTTTTTTAAATTAAAAATTTATAATTTCTTTCCATCGAGGTCTTAGCATTTTTTTGGTTGATTAGCGTTTTTCTGGTTGATGCATTGGAATAAGGTTTTTTTTCGGGGTTTAAAAATATTATAATTTTATTTTTTATTTTTCTTTGTAATTCAAAAAAAAATTGATGTAACAAATCAAGTAATATCAATCCAGTAAAATAAATTGACCAAAATATCAAATAAAATTATCATAAAATATTTAAAATGTAACTTGAGAAATGACCACATAAAAATGATGCAATTTACTCCCATTACTTGAAAATAAAATGTTTAAGCTTGAATAAAATACTGATTCTCTCTGTTTGTTTTTTTTTCCTTTAATTTTTTTTTGTATATAAACAGCAACAAACTCATCTGATATTTTTTTTTTTTTTTCATTCTAATTATATTATAAGTTGTTTTTGCAATTAAAACTTTATTGAATTAATTGAAGAAAGTTAAAAAAATCATCGAAAGCAGGATGAAAATTCATGTAAAGTGAGTATAGATAAGGAAAGTTTATGTAAAGTGAGTTTCCACAGCAACTTCTAGAGAAAAGCAAACATTGAATTTACTTATCTCTGAAAAAAAAAAAAAGTAACAAAGACTTTGTTACGTCTAAGTTGGGGGAAACCGAAATGTATGAAAGATTAAGCGTAAATGCATTGACCATTTTAAAGAGCTTCAATTAGTTAAGGAAATTGCATTTGAAAAAGAAAAATAAAATGACAACCAGACTCGTCTGCTCCTTGCGATGTTGCGGGTTGAATAAGCCATAGCCCATTTTCTCTTAATTTCACCCACCTTTGATTGTTAATTTCTTTCTATCAGGGAAATCAATGAAAATTTAGCTGGATGCACACGCAATAGGCCGGGCGTAAACTCAAAAATTTCAAAGAAATTTCTTAGATCTGGCGGCCCTGTTTCCTATACTTGACCCAACCAAAGCACTAACCATGTTTAGGGAAAAAAAAAAAACATGTCTATCAATCATAAAACCTTTGACACTGATG